AATAACAGTGAAAATAATAAATAGTAAATCGATGCTAAATAATAAAAAAAACTGTAAATAAATATAACTTTAAGGATATTATATATTAATATATACAAAGTACTGATTGTTTAGATTTATTAAATATTTATTACTTAAAAACAATTGCAGTATAGTTTTTAAATGGCATTTAAACTCAACATGCAAACTGTTGTGAAAAAATAAATACAGTAGAGGACTTGACTGGATCACGAAAAAAAGTGTCAGACTGGAATGGAGGAAGGTGGAAGACAACAGAGGAATTGATGACGTCAGACGGTTCAGAGGCGGTTTGTTCTTCATAACACCATGATGAATCATTCACATTAAGACCAGCAACACCAATTAAGAGAGATGTTGACTTTACACTCGTGATATAAGCGCTAATCAACATGCGGCCAGTGTTGCGTCTGCACCTGTCCCAAACAGTTCAAGCACAAATAGGTCTAAGAGCCCCATTTTCAGGTCAAACAAACAGACCGGCCTTATCAAAGCAGCGCAGAGATAAAAAGCAAGAAACATATTCACAAACACACACACACTCGCAGACATTTAATCACAAAGGAAGTGGGTTACAGGACACAACAATGTCAACAGAGCGAGAATCCAGCCAGCGGCACGGTGGGAAACTAACTCTGCTGACGTAACTTTGGAGGACACACAGAACACCACGACGAGACACAAACAAGTGAAAAACAACAGAAGCTATTGTGCCGCCGAAGGCCCCGTTCTGAGGCCGACTGGGGCCCGTGAAGGGCCGCTCTGTCATGATTGTGATTCTCAGAAATTCACTTTTTATTAAGAGTAACATTCACTTCATTTTTAGGGGTATTTTTACCTTGATGAAGATATTTTTTCATAATGATCTGACAGCTATGCATGAAATGTAATACCAATTAAATAAAAAATATTATTAATATTTTTGAAATATTTTCTTCAATTTAAAATATCATTTTCTGTTTTAATATCTGTTAAAATGTAATTTATTTCTGTGATGCGCAGCTGAATTTTCAGCATCATTACTGCAGTCTTCAGTGTCACATGATCTTCAGAAATCATTCTAATATACTGATTTGCTGCTGTGATACATTTTTGTGATACATTTTTTTTTACAGGATTCTTTGATGAATAAAAAGTTCAAAAGAACAGCATTTATTAGCAGTTATATAAATGTCTTTACGGTCACTTTTGAACAATTTAATGCATCCTTGCTGAATAAAAGTACTAATTTCTTTCTATATTTTGAATCTCACTTACCCTAAACTTTTGAATATATCACGGTTTCCACAAAAATATTGGGCAGCACAACTGTTTCCAACATTGATAATAATCAGAAATGTTTCTTGAGCAGCAAATCAGCATATTAGAATGATTTCTGAAGATCATGTGACACTGAAGACTGGAGTAATGATGCTGAAAATACAGCTTTATCATCACAGGAATAAATTACAGTTTACAATGTATTCACATAGAACACAGCTATTTTAAATTGTAATAATATTTCAGAATATTACTGATTTTACTGTATTTTTGATCAAATAAGTGCAGCCTGGGTGAGCAGAAGACACTTCTTTCAAAAACATTAAACAAATCTTACCAACCCAAACTTTTGAATGGTTGTGTGTGTATTTATATACAGTATACTTAATAACATATAAATAATATGATGCCACTACATCCAATTATAGTTACTGTTCATTTAAAACTTTTATTATATA